AAAAAAAAAAAAAAAAAAAAAAAAAAAAAAAATGCAAAAATAAATTATTCTCCAACTGTTTTTCTAATTATAATACTTTTGTAAATAATAAAAAAAAAGCTCTTATTATAATAATATAGTTAAATTAAAGCATTGTAGTTAAAATAAATTATTTGCTTCTAATTGCTAAAGAAAAAAAATATAAATAAATAAGAATAATGTAAGATATGCAAGATATGAAACAAAAAGAAAAAAAAAAAGAAGCAAGTCCACCGCCTCTTTATACATTTTTATTTATTTTTCTTGTTGTTTCTTTTAACATAACAGTAAAGAAAAATCGATTTTTCCCTCTTCAATTGGGAGAAACGTAAATAAACGAAAATGTATGAAACAACAACAACGAGAAATAAATGAAATAAAATTCTCGCACGCAACATTCCTTTACGTAAAGCAACATCATATTATTATCAAATACGGCTAAATTCATTCGTGTTAAGAGTAAAACAAAACGAAAGAATAAGAAAAAAAAAAAAAAGCATGTCAATGAAAGAAGAAAGCTTCAGTGATAGCCCAACCACGCAATGACACATGCAAGTGATAACGATGGGGATATGAAAAGCTTCGCTCAGCTACGGAGAAATGGTCGCGTGCGCTCTTCGCATGTCTGAGTTTTTTCGTTCGTTTTGTTTTTTTTTCTTAGCCTTAGTGACAATTTTATAAAGAGAAAGTTTCTAGTCTAGCGTTAGACGTGGCCGTGGTCGTTGTTGCTTGCATTGTTTTTCTTCTTTTCTTTTCATTTTCTTAATAACGGTAAAATAATAATAACGAAAAAAACAAAAAACCAATTCGCTTTTTTCCCTTTTCTTTTTTTTTTTCTTATATATTTAATGAGACATAAATCCTTCTTGTTCTTAGGTAACTAACTACGTATTCAAATTTCAATCCTTTTTGGTTATATGGTTAATGGTGAGATAGGTTTTTAGAAAGAGAAAAAGAAAATGGGGGAAAAAAAAGAAAACATGTAAATCTTCTTTTAACAAACGTTTTTTTTTTTTAAATAATTTTGTACGTGGTCAAGTACAAATCTTTCTATGCGCGTATTACATATATATATATATATATATATATATATATATAAATATATGAGTGAATGAGTGAGTGTGTTATATATGTTTGCCATCGTCAAGTTAAAAATTGTTTTCACTTATAAAACAATGTTTTCAAGAATATGAAAGAAAACATAGGTGTGCGAGTTCAAGCGTGCTCACGCAATTACACGCATGCTGAGATGTATAGGAAGGGCTCAATATTTTTCTCATATCACTATCACAAAATGTCATCTCATACGTACATGCATATTTACATTGCGAAAAAGTGTCTTATAAAATATTGTAAGCCCTTAGTAATGAAAATAGCTTTAGTTAGCACAAAATGTCGTTATATGTAAGAATGTGTGAATGACTTGAATGAATGAAACAAATGGATAAATGAATTTTTAGTCTCCTGAAGGGCTAACAATTTTTTAATCTGTCTTTTGTGCATGCATTTGTGTGTGTGTGTGTGTATATATACATATGTATGTAAGGGCGATAATTGCTTGTTAATAAAATAAAAAAAAAGTGTATTAGTTACGCCCTTATAGCAAAAGGGGTACTTGCACCAAAGGTAAGTTTCCTTCCTTTCGTGCATATATCACTGCTGATGATGACGATGATATACAGATACATAAAGTGTCTACATCAGGGCTCCATAACTAGATAATGCCACTTATAAAACACACAATTCATAACATCAGGCGCCCACATTTCAAATAACATTTGAAAGGCATCCGTTTTCTCTACACGTACATACCTACATACATACGTATATACGACGTAATATAAGCAATTTTCTCTTTCTACTTTACGATTGTTTTTCCCCTTTTTTTTCTTCTCTTTTCAATTGCTTTTTATTTTTGGCGATAGGTGTAAGTATGTGAAATTAAAAACTAAAGTAAATATTTTCAATCATGTATACGCTCAGAAGGTCGACAAAAACTGTCAAAGTGCAAATAATAAAATGAAAAAACCAATAGCAACGTTCGACTGTCTGCCGAGCATGTACTTGCTTGCTTGCAATTCATTTGAAAACTTTTCATATGATAGTGAGAAGGTGTGAAAGCATTGACATGTGCATGTGTGTGAATATTTTTGTCTGACTTGTTTGCCAATGTTTTAATCGTCAGGGAAATTCTTATTGAATTGAAAATATCTTTCAATTGATTTACAAGTATTTTTATATGTCCGCACCTGGGTGTGTGTGTGTGTATACATGTTTGTTAGTTAGCTAACTACTTTAGAAAATATTGAACCCTGAATGGAGATACATTGAATCATCAATGGCTTAATATTATTTAGACTTCATAATAAATGTTTACGCACTTTCGTTTACCTCTCTCTGCCTATGCCGTGCTTGTAAGTAATCAATTGCCGTTTTTCTTCGCATTTTCAGCTTAAAAATGTTCCATTACCGGTATTTTGTGTGAAATTATTTTCAAAGAAAAAAGACGAAGGAACAGAAGAAAACGCCTGCAACGGAAGTTATTTAACACTCGTTGTAAATGATGTTGCTATTGTTGTAGGTAGTTAGCTACATATCCAAACAGTATAAAAATAAAAGGAATTAAGGAGATCTTAAGTATTTTTTTTATTTTTGTTAATTGGATGCAAATAAATTGAATTACAACAACAATAGCAACAATAACGACCGTAATAAGGCAACGATTGCTAGCATTGCAAAATGCACTTGCACTTCGAACGTAATGTTAATACAAAGTGTGACTGCACGATATTATCGTTATCATGGATGGGGAAGGTGCCCGACGATATACCGGAGGTAAGTTCAAAAATTTAACTACAATTAAACTTAAGCCTGACTGACAATTAATCGTTCTCAACCTGAGCCCCTCCCTTGATAATAATTCATCTATTTTCGTTATACAAAATTACATCTACTTTCAGCGCAAACATAGCCTTTTGATGAGATGGGTTTAAAAACATGGACTCACATTGCCCGATTTCAAACCGGTCGATTTATTTGAGCCAAATATCTTATTCTGTCTCACTTCTTATTGCCGACATATGAGGACTTATTTATTTTGTAAGAGTTTCGCGACAGCAAGGACTTCTAAATATAGGCCAATAATGGGATTCAAACTTTCTACAGGAAGGTTATCCGTCAAATCACCATTTGCTATCAATACTCATTAGAAAATACTAAAAATTTAAAGTTGTTTCCGCATAAGGGCTCTTATTTCTTAAGTACGTTTCTATGGGAGGGAGTGCAAGAAATGGTGCAAAGGCATTTAAATTTTCCACATTCATACAATATTCTAATATACCGTTCAACGTCCACTGAATTTTGTCGATAAATGTTAAGAGTTTAAATATTTTGCATACAACGATCTTTTCAAAAACAGGAATGCGTTTACCAAAATGGTACAATGGACTGCATTGTCAATAGCCTTCACATTTGAGCCAAAGCTATCGGAAACCAGCTAAGCTTTACTAAGTTGCTTTTCTGAAAAACAACATAGTTTTAATAATAATTTGAAATGTTCCCCGTTTAACATTTTTTATAACAAAAGTCAGTAAAAAAACCAATTTAACCTAAGTAAGTCGAAAATGACGATCTCTTGGTTAAATACAAAAATACCCGAGCAAACACAAGATGGACGGACAGACTTAATAGATTTAGAAAACTTAATATACTCATATCGAAATTGATGTTAGATATAACGAAATCTTAAAAAACTACTACGTACCTCCGTTTTGCCAAAATAATTCTGTTGACTTTAGATATGCGTATGCATCACTATGCATACATCACTATGCAAACATTCTTGATAGTTGTGGGCGAAGCTTTGCTCTAACCGCCTTCGAAGCAAACCTTTGCGCCATTGCTTTAGAAACGAAGGAAAATTAAGGATGCTTTGTTAATTGCGCATGGTCATACATGTCGAAACCTGACCCAAACTTAAACTAGCGAGACTGATACGAAAATTCATATGAAACCGATTCATGCTTCTACATAAGCCGACAATCTCAAAAAAAATCCCTATTCGCGCGGATCCTGTGTACATACTTATAATGTGCGTTCTTTAATGCAGTATAAACATTTGATCAAATTAAAAAGAAAAATACAAAACAAACCATGTGCTTCTTCTTATACTTGTTTGCTTACGTTCTACTTGAACGACCGACCGTCTTATAGATAAGCAACAACAAAAAAAAAAAAATTAAAAGTCTTGTGGTTTTCTTTTAGCTGCAGTTAACATATATATAAACATATTACAGTTTAAGGAAAATTCAATATTTTTTTTAGTTAGCAAACAATTCCGATTAGGTGTTTCTTTCTATCTTTCAATTCTAACCGAACAATAGTTGCATAAAGGTACCCGTTATTGCGATTACAATCAAATTAAGTACAAGTAAAGAGTGACTGGTTGTCGTAGCAGCTTTGTCTTCTGCTGGTTTCCAACACAATACTTTCATGTTACCTTCTGCCGGTGAGTCATTCGTTGGAACGAGTCCATTTGACGTCTGCCGTAAACCGTATTGTTGTTCTTGTTCCCGTTGTTCTTGTTGTTGTCTTTCATTTTCGGCATTCATAAACAATTTTAAACGTTTCATTGATGACATTGGCCCCTCTGTGGCAATGCCTCTCTCATCGTCACCGTCAATATTATTGCTATTGTATATCTTTAGCTTTTCAGCATTTGGCAAAAAGGTCACATAATCAACAGGTAGATCCTTTGGCCGGTAGCCATATAATAGCATTTGTACAAACAAACTAGTTGTCTGGCGATCTGTAATAATTGCTTTGAGGGTGGTAGGCGACAAATGGCTATACTCGACAATTGGTGGCTTATAAGCACTTCCGTTGAGTTTATTCTCAATAAAATGCTAAAAATTAATTTAAATTGTACATGTTTTTTTTTTTAATCATATTTTCACAATTATGTACAAACATTTAGAAATGTACACATATATGACATATTCATATACTTACATCGATTATGATGAACTTCACTTGGGTAATGTAGTTCTTGTCAATATAATAAAAGATAACAGAATGCGTTGATAGTTGATCAGTTTTCTCCGTTGAAGTTTGATAATTTTCGTAGAGTAAATAATCACCTGCAATAAGAGTGAAAAGGAAAAAAACTTTTTAGCCTTGAACTTTAGGCAAGAGTTTGAAAAAAGTGAATTTAATTCGAAAACAAATATTAAATTCTTTACATGAAAACGAACAAAAACTTAGACACTACTCCCTTACTGCATACGAATGTTATGATATTTTGAAGAGTATTCAATTCCAATTTTCCTCTGACAGAGCGCAAATGTTGAGACTTTTATTTTCCTTTCAAAAAAATTGTAAATCATTGTAAAGAAATTTGTCAAATCAATTTATGGCGGTGGAATAACAATCACATTCTAGGAGCGATGCTATACTCATTCTTCAAATGAGAAACGCTTGTAATCGGTTTTTGCAATTCGAACATTGCAAGGCATAAAGGCGTAAAACTCGAAAAAAGTCTGCCTTACATTATGAAATATGTAAGGAATATGTTTTTTATTCCCCATCTCTATTCAATACACCGAAATTGTAAAGTAATTTCGTTAACTATAGGCGTGTGAGTTGATCAAGAGGAATTAAAGAAAGCGCTGTATGCTTTATAGCGTGAACAAGTTACTTAATTATGGACGGGTCAGTCGATCCATTGGAATTTGGTTTCATTTTCGTTTTTCATAGCCATAGGGAATATTTGCAGCAACTTTTACTTCCATATATCCTATAGATAGTACGTGATTCCCAATTCATTGCGAGCATATCTGTGGAATTCCGTGGCTATAGGCGGATTTAACCTGAAGTTTAGTTTAGTCAGCCAAATATTCATTAAAAATCGTAACATACTCTTCTTACCACAAAATTTAGACAAGTTTTTACCCCGCTAGCTCGTAAACATGATAAATTATTGTAGGATCGCGCTCTTTTCTCCTCAAAATTTTGAATAATCTTACGCGATTGCTTTTTCAAGTGGTGTACCTATTGTAGGCATCGTCTACCAACTGAGCCTATTTTCCAATTAATAAATATATATATACATTTTTAAAGACGTAATTAAGTAACCGTAAGCTGTTCAAAAACAATTTATACACATAATGTATATGAATGAAGGGATGGGCGGACATGGTCATCACGCTTTAGAATATTAAGGTGCTTAGTTTGTTGATTCTTCGATGTATGTTCCCGAATGTGCAAAAGGTTAGAATAAGTATATTGCACTTCTGCCCTTCGACGATGGAGATAAAATTTGAAAAAATCATTGTGAAAAATTTTTTGCTGTCTTAGTCAACGTATGAAATTATCATTATTAATGAATTCATATCGTGAAATGAAATATGTGATAAACGGGCATGGGAATAGCATTAGCTATCGTAACAAGACCATAAATATTTAGTCAGATACTTGCGGAAAATGTTTACAGTTTTCGATTCACTTAAAGAGCAGTATATAGTGAATAAATAATAACATAATTGGACACTCTACAGATTACAAAGGTTCTGTGGAAGATTTATTACTTTCGATTAACAACCTAGAATATCTTACTGACGTACATACAGCAGCAGCTCTTATGTAGTGTATACGAAAATTTACAAATTTCTTACAAAATTGTCTATTTTTAAAACTCTTCAAAACACAAAGTTGTAACGTATAGTTAGGAATTCATGATGCCTCTATTTCCAGATTATCAAAAATTAACTTTCGATAACATGAGGTAATAAACCTTCCTAACGAAGACTTTATAAATTTTATAGAACACGTATCGATACGAAAACTTTACAAATTTACATACTTTTTTTTTAATAAATAGGCCAATAGCTCTCAGACTGCTATGCTATGCTTCTTTTATGTTTACCTTTTTGTCGTTGTCCCATTTCTATGATTTTGTCCAAATTTTGATTAAAAAAGTTTTCATCTGTTTCATCGTCATTCTCATGTTCCTTTATATCGTTTTCATTACCATCTTTTTCATCATTATCTTCAAATTCGTGGTCTTCCTTCATAGCACCATCTGCCGCGTTGTACTCAATTTCTTCGTCATAAACATCATCGCCATCATCATCATCATCGTCATCGTCATTATTATCGTCAAACAACTCAATAGTCGCAGAAGTTAAGCTACGAAGTTTACGGATTGGCGCAATTACTAGCATATATGTAGTGTTGTTTTTTAAAACACCATTGGAATTAAAGCTCTCTGCCACTGTTACATTAAAACCAAAAATTTGCACAATCATCTCCAAGGGCATTAATTTATTATTATTGCCGTTATGTGGTTGTATATTTGTGATTAAACCTTTGATAAGAGTATCATCATAATTCAATTCTACCCGGGCGTAAATGTTCTGAAAAAACATAAAAATACCTATGACTCGAATACTGGATTTATATTCAAATGTTTGTTGACACTTACGTTATTTGCTGATATTTCGATATATGTAATCGGTTCCTTTAGATCGTACATGAAATTTATGTACGGCTCTTTCGTGAGACTGTCATGTGCTATGAGACTGTCATTGATCAGCAATTGATCATTTTCTAACCGCTTACCGGTACTACATAGTGAAAATTGTTCCAACTGTTCAAAACACCAACAATTTCGCCAAAAGCATAACACAAATACTAATACATATGCAATGCTTGACATGACGATGTACAAGGCGATAAGTTTTTCCTTTTTTTTTCTTACAAATTTATTTATTTTATTTTGTTTATTACTATCGCCGTATAGTTTTGAAACAGATTATGATTTTGAAAATGTTTTCACTCAAGAGGTTCTGTGAGAACTAAATTCGCGAATAAATTTTGAACGATTGTAAAGGTATTCGAAATGAGTAGAAAATTTGTTTTTATGGCGAATGCTGTGAGATTTATAAACCGGTCAAATTATATTCTCTAGATTGGCGCGGAGAGCATAGCTGCCGAATAGTGGCAGTGGGACAAAACTTTGAATGTTTCAAAAGACGAGAGCAGGTCATTTACAAATAATCAAAAATTTGATCGATTGATGTGCTTTCAAATAAATGCAGAGACATCTATCTATACGCATACATCTATTAGCATATATCATTTATATACATTTGATTCGATGGGTGTTGCGTTGGTTGATTTTGTAAAAGTTTGAAAGTTTCTTTTTAAAAAAAAAAAAAAACTATTTCGCATCAGCATTGACCTTAATTAATCACTCGATATTTTTACAGAAATGTGTTCTGTCTATTTTTATAGTGTTCAAACGTCTTTTAATAAACGAACGAACGAACGAACATCAGCATCAGCTGCCATTCATTTAATGGGCTAATAAATGTTTGAAAGAAATTCTAAGTTTTCTCGACATAACTATATCAATTGAATAGATATTGCGCTAAATTCCGACTAAATTTTTCGTCTTAAAGTATTTTTAGCATATTTGGTTTGAACTACTTACTAATAATTGAAAGTGAATAATCGTGCAAAAAAAGTATGATAACGTGTATAAGAAGAACAATTCTTTTTAAATGTCTCTTAAGCCGTTCTTTTAAACTAAATTGAGAATTGCTGTTTTATTCATTTTGCTTTTGACCTTTTTCGTTTACTTTGTAAAAGCAATACGCTAGTTTCAAGGCAGTTGATCTAAACCGTTCACCAAAAGTCTTTTATAAAATTCTTTTCCCCCAGTTTTGATTTCTTTTAACTTTTATACAACATTTCATTTTAGGATGACGGCTGGAAGCTGAATCGTACGAACTATTACCAAGAGGGTTGGCTCGCCACCGGCAATGTACGCGGAATAGTTGGTGTAACGTTTACAACATCGCATTGTCGCAAAAGTGTCGAATATCCTTTACGCACAAATTATAATTTAAGAGGACATAGATCCGATGTAAGGGAAACTCGCAATATATTTGACTTTCTATTCTCTAAACAAATTAATGATAATCTTCATTTCGTTTTTGGTGATTTAGGTTATCCTTGTTAAATGGAATGAACCATATCAGAAATTGGCTTCCTGTGATAGTTCAGGTATTATATTTGTTTGGATTAAGTACGAGGGTCGTTGGTCAATTGAATTGATTAACGATCGTAATACGCCGGTAACGCATTTCTCTTGGTCGCATGATGGACGTATGGCTCTAATATGTTACCAAGATGGTTTCGTTCTTGTCGGCTCTGTGGCTGGGCAACGTTATTGGTCATCTATGCTGAATTTGGAATCAACTATAACATGTGGCATATGGACGCCAGATGATCAACAGGTTTATTTTGGCACTACTCAGGGCCAGGTTATTGTTATGGATGTACACGGTGCTATGGTGTCTCAAGTACAATTGTGTAACGATGTCGGAATAACATCAATGTCGTGGTCTTGTGAGAAATTCAAAATGGAGGAAGGTGAAGAATCCGAGCCTGGTGTTACAAATGCTGGTAAGTCGTCGTCTTTTCATACTGGTAGCTTTAAAAGAGTGCCGTTGGTCTTTTACTTACAGCTAAGCGTTCTTTCGTTTTGGCGGTTAGCTTTCAAAACGGGTTCATATATTTACTGAAATCATTTGATGATCTTTCGCCGGCGCATATCAGCACAGGTCTTAATGGATTATTGGGCATGGTTATGGAATGGAGCAATTCACGTGAACTACTTGCTGTGGCTGGAACATCTCAGAAAACAGCCGAATTTAGTGATGCCAATGTTAACGGCGGTCAACCGGTTTATGACAATCTATTAAAATTTTACACAGAGTCAGGGGTACTGCTTTATCAGGCTTGCATACCGAACTCAACGGCCCCAGTGTCCGCTCTAACTTGGGGTCACAATGATAAACGTTTGTTTATCGCTACTGGCACCCAAGTACACATTGCTTGGGTTTCAAGGCGTGTAGCTTCATTGCAACTATTATGTCGCCTGCAGATTCAGGCTAGTATTGGATCTGAAACATTTTTGCCACTGCTGCCTTTACCAACTAGAATAAAAACATTGATCGGTAATCTTTTTGCTCAAACTATTAGAGTAAGTAACGCGTAGATTGTCATTCAAATGCTAAACTGTTTACGATTCTTTTTTTTAATTTAGTGTTGTGTACCTGATATAAAATCCCTAAGAGAGTTCGTCTCGCGACCGCCTATGTGTTCCACACGCCTGCATTGTACCATGATACGTCACGATGAAGATTCGAATATCAGTTCGGGTACTTGTTACACGCTTTATTTGGAATATTTAGGAGGTCTAGTGCCGTTGCTGAAAGGTAAACGTACATCAAAAATACGTCCAGAGTTCGTCATATTCGATCCGCAAGTGAATGGTGAAGATAATTTGTGCTTTCATGTAATCATTTTGTTAATAATAATCACATTGTTCTTTGTTTAGACTCTAACGTATTTTTCCAACAGTCACCTGGTTCGAAAAGTTCTTCTACATCCAGCCAATCCGCTAGCAGCACCACTGGTAACGGACGCACCGATTCTTCGGATAGCGAGTATGATGAACGCGGTCGCAGCTCTCCGCAAGCACTTCGTAAGCGTAAGGCTCGTCAGAAAAAACGTAGCGGTGCAAACAGTGAAAGGAATACTTTAACACCGGGCAGTAACGATTCAGATGTTTTGGATGAACTCGCTTATGTGGATACCTTACCGGAGGCAAGCAGATATTCATGGAAGGCACGCAATGGTCATTATAAGCGACTTTTCTTTTTTAGGAGGTAAAACTGGTTGAGGTCACTTCAAATATTTGGGGAACAAAGTTTAAAATTCATGGACTTGCTAAAACCGTCCCGGCCAATTTAGGCCAAGTTACGTATAAAACGTCCTTGCTGCATTTGCAGCCCCGACAAATGACTCTGGTTATTACAGAGCTAAGAGATGATTTTCCACCGGGTCCAGATCCGAATTTTAATCCTAATCTTTTTTCGGAGGACGAGGAAGATTTAATGCTGCATGCCGCAGCAAAAAGGGCTCTTAATCAGCCATCAAATGCTCATGTCCTGGAGTCACCTAATCAGATTAGCGATTTGGTTAGTAGTAACGTATCAATGAATCAGGTTCAAGCGACAACAAAACGACTGGCCGAGGGCTTACCACCAATCGTACCGATGTCACCACGTCCAAATCGCTTATTGACACGTCATAGAAATAGTAGCAATGGAAATCTGTTGGCTGGACGGAGTCCTTTAGCCCGCGCTGAATCCTACGACGATGATTCGGCCAGTGAATCTGCGGAGCATAGTAGCGCGATTTCGACTGTCTTGCAGGGTAGTGGTCAAAATTGTCCGACTAAGATGACACGTCCCAAAAATATCGCCTCTAATTATACTCGCTCGAATGGTGGTTCCTGCGGCCCAGCTCGACATGCCATATCACCTCTTTTTAATGACAGTTCCGTCCCAACATTGCAATCACCCAAAAATGCTGTAGCTCCGACCGATATTATTTTTGAACGCCCAGCTGTGACAGCCGCGGGGCAAACCACCCTTATGTCATATTCTAGTAACTCAGACTACGCCAATAATATGGTCCAAGTGAAAAATGCCCTTATGTCGGAAAGTGTACGCTCCACAAACAGTCATGTGAATCCAGTGCCTCTTAACTTAAATCTGAATTTGGAAAGAATGGACGCTTCTAAAATGAAAATAGCACTGCCATCCACTTCAAAAAAGCGAGATATCTTATACATAGATGAAGAGACGCAATCGCCCGGTCAAGTTCAAGGAACAGCGGCGATTGTTACTCCGATTCAACAAATAGAAGTGGAGCTAGCTATGAAGAGGACGCCTACGATAGTTTCTATAGCACCGGTGACAGCTGACGCCATAACGCGCAGTTGTAGTGTTGGCTATTTAGATACAGTAGCTATAACGCCTTCAGATGAAGCTTTGACGGCTTTAAGGAGAGAAGCGCCGAATAAACGTTTAATATTGGTGGATAACAGAAGAACTCGGAAAAAAAGGCCGGCGCAAGAGGTACGCGAGCTTTTATTTACAAACAGGTTCATAATATTAGGAGCATTTTTTTCTTACAATTTTAGAATAATCGCAAACCGAGATTACAACAGACCGGGAAGTCGAAAAGTTTTGATTCATGTGAAATACTTTTAGCGCAATTAAGACCCATAACTAGTAATAAGGCAGCCGAAAAATTAAGCGACATAAACGAAAGTGTTAGTGGAATTGTGATGCCAGACAATCCATGTTTTCTATGTACTAGTTCTGGGTTGAAAACAAATTGTAAGCATTGTGCTCTTTCCCCGTCGCCCGCAGATAGTGTGAAAGGGGCAGAAATTACAAGCGCGAGTTGCACCTCCAATGAACCGTCGGCAAATTCAAAGGGAAAAACAAAGGGAGACCTAAGAAAAACATCGAATGGCACAGAAAATTCGCCAAAGAAACGGATTGATGTAATAACTAGTTTCACAGACAGCCCATTATTCTCGCGGAAGCATCGATTTGGACGACACCATCCAGACCAGTCGTCGTCATTATCGTGTCGGAAAAATGAAAATAGTTTTAGCTTAGTGAAGCAATTAACTGAGGGACGCTGGCGTCGCAGAGATCCGAAATCAGCGAATAGCGGAACCGACTTGAAATCCTTGCAAAACGGCAGTAGTAGTCTTGAAGTTACCTCAGAAAATTCGGAAAACAAAAGCGACAATCCGATCGAAGTCACGCCGGTCGAGACACGAGCTTCGGTATCGTTACACACACAGGTAAACAGAGAAATTTACTCTTACATATGAATTCCATATCTGTTGAGATTTCAGGCTCTTACTACATTGGAAAACATAATTAGCCGTTTAAGAGATTTGGATGAGGGACGTCTTACACCACCGGCGTCTCCTCAGCGACTGCCCAGAAGCTCCCCAGCTTCACCAGCTAGCAGCAAGAAAACCAAACGTTATCAGAGCAGTTCACCTATTCGCAATATTTTAAACTCTCCGTTATTAAATAGAAGACAACGTAAAAAACAAAATATTATAGAGAGCTCGGATGACGAGAGCTATCTTACTAATGGTTCTGGCGAAGAGGGCCAACTTAATAGCAGTGGTAATAAACAATATCGCGATTTGGAAACATTTCAAAAGGCACAATTAAGACAGAAGGTATGAAAAATAAACATTTTTCATCTTAATAACTTGAACGAACCCTAACTAATTAATCGCAGTTGAAGAGAGGACGTATTGAACCAAATGGCACTTCACATTGCAACAATTCGTCACCGGTGAGACGAGAATTTGTTATGCATAATAAGGCACCAATGTGGAATGAAATGAGTCAGGTGTATCAGTTAGATTTCGGAGGACGTGTTACGCAAGAATCAGCAAAAAATTTTCAAATTGAATTTCGCGGTAAACAGGTAATGTCACTAGCACTCGCTTATGCAGATGGTTGTGCATTACAAATATTTTTCTTATTTATAGGTTATGCAATTCGGCCGTATAGATGGTAATGCTTACACTTTGGACTTTCAGTATCCGTTTTCGGCGTTACAAGCCTTTGCCGTAGCTCTTGCCAATGTAACGCAACGTTTAAAGTAATCACATTATCATTTAATATCCTCTACTCAACTACCTATCACCACAACCACCACCACCACTACTACTACCATATAAAAAATCTTAACGCTTAGAGGTTGTAGCATGTTTCAGAAAGATCCAAGAGAAAATATTTTTAAAAAAATTTTTCTCAATTTTTTTTAGATAAATAAATAACTTATATATAATATAGCAAAAAACATATAGACGATAAACAGATATGTACTTACGGACACATAATACAAATAATATATGTGCAAAATTTTACACCTACACATACAGGCATATATACACACAAATAATGTATCATTTTTTATTTAATTTTTAAGGCAAATTGAAAATTATGTGCAATATGAATTTACTACACACACATTTATATGATTATGTGTTGTTTTTAAGCTTCTACGCTATGCTTATGGATGCCATTATGTAGTTATATATAATGAAAATGAAGACCTTTTTTAAAGGCTTTTAAGTTAATGTTTAAGTGAACACAATTATGAAGGAAATAAGTAGAAAATCCGTTCCATTTTTTATGTTTCTCTCTTTTACGTACATTTCGCAATTCATACAAGCGTTCATAAATAAATACACTATTTGGTCACGGTGTTAGTAATTCGCTCTCATTTTTTAGGGGGTAACTCAAATTTGCAGCAGCGGAAATTGTAATGATCTTAGCCTCTTTGCCTAACGTAGATAATTCATCTACGACGCCCTTGTTCAAATTTTAAGAGTTAAATTTAACAATAGAAATCTTAATTTTTATCACTTTAGGAATTGCGACGCAAGACGGACAGATGACAATTATATAGTTGTTTTCGGCGTGTGCTCATAAAGAAAAAGAAACTGAACACTTCTACAAGTACACAAGACTAGGAGGCAAATAGAACATATGGATGTCCCGAAAGAATGTAGCGAAGAAAATTTCTTTACATTTAGTACACCAGATTGGGAGGCAAATAGAACATTCGGATATCCTGAAAGAATGTACCGAAGACAACATTCTTCTTCAATTAAATCAATAACGGAAATCTTTCTTACCTATTCATTTTTGTGTTTTTATTTTATTTTCATGAACAATTTCCGCTTTCTCCCAATCTGGCAGCTTCTTCTCTTTAATTTGCCAAGCATCCGTTTTAGCGCCTTTATTTTCGGCTGGTAAATGATTGACTATTTAGCGCAACATTAACATATCCAAGAATAACTAATACCTACAATTTTTAAATCTCTGAACACCTTCTTTAAGTTCCTTTAGTACTTCTTTAGATGTGTTCATAATCTCGTTTTGTATAGCATCGCGGAAACTTTTCCGACTATAGACATTTGCATACAAGTTATTACGATCTTGAAGAAGAGAGGCCTGGGGAAATTTTGCTATGGAGAACGCCAAATTTACAGCTTGACCCAATGCGGTACCTGTGGCCACCATACGATTGACAAGACCTATGTTTAGTGCTTCCTTAGCGTCAACCCTACGACCGGTGTGTAGGAGCTCTAGTGCACGTGCATAGCCAATCATTGCCCCTAATCGCACTGTGCCGCCATCACTTAAAGGCACTCCAAAGCGTCTATTAATAAAACCCAATACTGCAGTATCTTCCATAACTCGCAAGTCACACATCAGAGCCAATTCTAAGCCGGCAGCCACGCAATAACCATTAATGCCACAAATAACAGGCTTAGAGATGTGTCGTCGTGTAGGTCCAACCGAACCTTCATGGCGCATTAAATACTCTAGGTTCCCGTTTTCGGCTTGCGCTTCCAAATCTTGTATATCATAACCAGAACAAAAGGAGCCTCCTGCTCCGTAAAGAACAGCGATAGGCGAAGTTTTATCGGCTTCAAAATCATTTAAAGCAGCAGAGAGTTTCTCAGCAGTTTGAGCGTTGATAGCATTACGTTTTCTAGGTCGATTAATTCCAATTAGAGTAATATTTTCATCCTTATCCACAAGAATAGTATTTTCTTCTTGTTTTTCTTCATTTTCTATGTGTTCTCCATTATCAGCATTCTGTAGTTTTGATGAAGACGAAAACCAATCCTTATTGCACTCTAAATTACACACAATACCAAAATTTGTTTTATTTACACTTAATCTACGAAAACTGAACATTTTTCTTAAGAATATTTGTATTACTAAGATAAGTCGTCTCTCTATTCGGCATTCATCTTCTTCTTCTTAAATTTTCAGCGAGTCAACAGCAGATGATACACTTCGTTGCAAAAAAAAGGCCCAGCGTTCAATTTTACTTTATAACCGCATCACAAATTTAATAAAAGTTCAGTTCGTCAGTAGCAAAAAAAAAGAGAAGTTTAAGAGCTGAGGAATAGCTGACGAATAGGTCCGAACCTTAGAAGAAATCGACAACTCCTGGCAACTGTGAATTAACAGCTGTTTCTGAGCTCATTTGTAATTTTTTTCAGTTTGGATTTTTAATTTTAGCCATAAAGAAGAATAAGAAGCCGAATAAAGTAAAAGATATGTTTAGACAGTTAAGCAGATGTGTTAATAAAATCGTTGATGCAAACGTTTTGCAATTAAATCGCGGCATATGTTCCGCAAGATGCCTTCTTAAAAAAGAGGGTAAGGTAATGACGGAACTATGTTCACTTGAAACATAATCCATTACATTTTTAGCTGTTGCCGAAATGATTGAAGAAAAACCAATAAAACCAAACACAGTTTTAGTGGAAAAAGATAAGAATATTACTCTAATTGGTATTAATAGACCGCGACAACGTAATGCTATAGATGGACAAACTGCTGCTAAACTTTGCGAAGCGTTTAGCGCTTTCGAGGCAGACGATGCTTCGCCGGTGGCGGTGTTGTATGGTATAGGAGGTTCATTTTGTTCCGGTTTTGATATACTCGAAATGGCCAATGAAGATGAAAGCACGGTCAGCGTGGAAATATTAATGATGCCCGAGGGCTCAGTTGGACCAACGAGAAGGCAATTAAGCAAACCGGTGGTTTGTGGTATTAACGGTTATTGCGTAGCAAACGGTTTAGAATTGGCTTTGATGTGCGATTTACGGGTTATGGAAGAATCTGCAGTATTAGGTTTTTTCAATCGTCGCTTTGGAGTACCTGTAATAGATGGTGGCACTGCGCGCCTTCCAGCTATGATTGGATTGTCACGTGCTCTTGACTTAATATTAACTGGCCGCCATGTCTGCGCCGAAGAAGCTCATAGCATGGGTATAGCGAATCGAATAGTGGGGACTGGTGAAGCCTTGAACAAGGCTGTAGAATTGGCTAAGTGCTTATCAAAATTTCCACAAAGTGCTCTAAATCACGATCGCAAATCGGTATACTCAGCTGTCTTTGACGTAAGCAGTTTCCAACAGGCCATACAGAATGAGATTATGTACACATCGAAAGATATTATTGATCAAATGCATGACGGCATTAAATGGTTTAATAAAAGTGCGAGTATTTACTTTAAAATATAAAACTTCAATAACTTTTAAATTTTGAACTTATAGCTTTTAAAGATAAAGACACAGATAGCTGGCTAAAGCGTGATAAATCGATGGCAGATTGGTACGACGAGGAAGTCGCTGAAGCTGCTGCTAAAGTCGAAGAAGAAAAGCAGGCGAAAGAGGCGTTACGCATTGAGGCCCAACAAAAGGCACAAGAAGAAAGAGAGCGAAAATTTAAAGAAAAAACGATAAAATCAACCAAAGTAACAGAAAAACAGAAGACTGAAAAAGAGATGGAAAAAAATGCAGCTGCACCTGAATCAAAAGAAAAGGGTGACAGAAATGTAAATTCAACCGAATCAAAATCGAAAGTGAATTATGAAGAGCCTAAATCTCAAACTAGTAAAGAGCCAAAGAAATAAAAATACTAAGCAAAAGACCCGAAATTTTGTAATAATTAAAAATTTAATTAATATGAATTAAGTTAGCTTTCGAATTTTCTTTCACACCCTCTGACACTACAAAGATATTGAAAGTACCTGAAGAACACATCGGTAAAGTTAACTTTATTAGAGCGACTAGACTATCTATCTACGTAGTCTACATTGACAAAAGATCCTCTTCCTATTTTTAATCCTAGAATTTTAGGTTTAAATAAGTTTCTTTAAAATCATCTTAGAAGAAGAAATATTGACCAATGTGGAAAGTTAAATTGTTTACTTCTCCTTTAATTTGCACAGTTTTAATGCTGGAAAGGAAGACATACAGCTCTCAGTCTGTCAGAATCGGAAAATTTCAGTATCATAGCTTTGTCGTTAAATGCAGTTGCTACTTAGAAATGCACTTCTCAATTGTATGGAATTTTTATTTTCTCAGATGGTTGGTATTTGTATACAAATTGTTGAGAATATATACGCTTAATCTCGCATCGATGGCTTTTTTACAAAGACCTGTCTAATTATTGAGAACGAATATGCGCTTATTCTCGAAAGACCTTGCAAAATTCTTGATAATTGTATACGCTTATTTTAAATGCTTACATATTGTTTTCATTTTTTTTTTCTTTTAAAATAATTAGCTGATTTTTTTCCTTTATATGGTTTTAAAAAAAAATAGCATGTGTTGTGAATAGATCTCCAGTCTATTCTGGAAAATGAATCATCAGAAATCATTAAAATGTAAAAAGTATATATGTATATTTACCCTCGTGCATATTTATTTTTTTTTGTTTTGAAGGACGATGTGTTTAATAAAAAAGATTGCATAGTTTTTTAAGAAACTAAAATGGCGAAAGGATTAGAATTGAAGATGGTTCCACTTAACCATTACAAATATGTTCTTTCCTGATAGACGTTTTTCTATACAAGCAAAACTCTACTCCAAATGTTTTTCGAGGCGCTTGACTTTCCAAAATGTAATAATATGGTTGAACTGAATCAAGCTTCTTATCGGGACATATAACCCGCTTATCTTGTACTGTAAAAGAAAAACGAAGTAGTGGTCGTGACTAAAACAAGTAGGAATCTATTGTTGATGAGATATTCTTTGTAAGGTCTGAAAAGGGAAAGTTAATTTAGTATGTAATAAATTTCGTTACGAAAGCCGGCTTGGCTGTTTATAAAACTTGCATGGCTTTTCGTTAACTAAAAGTGTACTTGAATTTGGTAAACATCTATGCTCTAAACTTTAGAATGGTGACGGAGGCAGATTGTGAGTTCTTGAAAGTTAGTTAAGAAATTATTTCATGATTTTATCAGGTAAATTAGAGAGATTGTCTCACGTTTCTCTTTTTTTTATTTTCCAAAACGTGAGTAGTTTGCGCATTAACTTTTTGGCTTTGCATGCAGAAAGTACTTAATTTACAAAGTTGTTGTGCGATGTAAATATGTAAATTAAGTGAGTTTTTTTATCGTTCTCTTGCTGCCTTAGTTGTAGCAATGTAGTCGCAGCAATTCATGGTTCTTGAACTTTTTTGGTCCTCCGGGTGGTCCTTTTTTTATTGATATCAAAATCACTACTTTTAAATCGTTGAAATCAAAACCGGTAATTGAGTTATGATGTAGGAGCATCATCGCCATAAGCTTCTGAACGTGTTTAATCCTCAAATCAAACAACAACAAAAATCAGTATCGAATATGCAATTTTGGCGTCGGCAGACGCCACATTATCTCAATAATATCAAATGAAAAACTGTTATGTAGAGAAAGGTCAAAATCACCGAATTCGACCGTTATGTATATTGGCATTTCTCATTTCTCTATAATTTTTACCTGAAGATGCCGCTGGCCAAAATACGTGGAAACACTTGAGAAAATAGTTCAATGTATATCTTCGGGGAAGATTTGGTTTACAAACATTCCGAAGCGATTGTGCGTAGTAAAGGAGAACGAAGGTACAAAGTGGTGAACATTTACTGCCTAATATAAAGCTGGGTTCACTGCAGAAAGTATTCGAACGAAGAAAGTACTTTCATACTCAATGGATTCCGAGTCCAATTGAAAGTAATCGAACAAGTCTTTCTTTTTTTACTTCTGTAACTCTGGCGAAAATCGTATATGCTACGCAAATAACGATAGATAATTTTAAATGTGCCCAACTTTGTAAAGCAAACTTGCAGACATAAAAAAGTAAAAAAAAGAACTCAAACTTATTACAATGTATCTCAAAAGCCAAACATAATAAGCTTGAGAAAAATTTCTGAAATTGCAGAATTTTTAAAAAAATTACACCATAATACAAGAACAATACGTCGAGTCGATATGAAAAAGATACATATAAAAAGATAATATTGGCCATAGATAAAGGTATTTAAGTGCAACGAGCTTTTTGCATATTTTTAAAATTTTTATATGCCGCTGATCTTCCCGGATCACTGGTCTTTGCATTGAAAGCATGCATAAGTAGCAAGTTGGTACAAAAGGCGTTTCAAGCCTGAAGATGTAGCTGCGGGCCTCCGTCGCCAGTATCATCTTCCTGCATCTCCGTCTTTATTTGCATCGGTAACGGCAAGTTTTTACCATTATTTTGAAAAATAAAACAATCATTGCCCTGTTCATCCTTAGGGATGGCTTCATTGGATGATACCGTAAAGCTGATACGCGGGGCGACTAGCGACCTTTGCAAATCGGTATCGCTATCATCTTTACAACTAGAACGTTCATCCCGATCAGAACTATATATACCGAAATTGTTATCATCAATGCGATGTATAATACATCTGGCAGACAGTTCAAGCAGACACTTGTGAAGAATACTTTCGATATTTGCCATCGGTACCAAATTCCTCATTTGATATCGTACTTGGTTTAATATCTCAGCTTCGCTGACGAATGTGTCTTCAGACCCCTCGCATAACAGGTTCACTGCTTTTATTGCGTGACGCTCCACCTTTTTTGGTACTTTTATATTTTCCATTTATAAAATAATTGCGTCGAAAATAGAATATTCAAAGAAAAAACGTTTTATTTGATATACGAATGTTTTAATTGGAAAATAAATATTTTATATCAAAATATATATATAAATATAAATATAAATATATCAAAAAGTTCTTAAATAAAAAATGAAGTAAATATATAGAATTCTAGATCGAAACAACAAAAATCGAAAAGATAAGTAGTGAGACATGGACTGAATGGCAGATGTGTGGTGTTTTCAAGTAAAAATCAAGTTGAGCTGCTAGTCGAGATACTTAGCTTACTTAGTCACAGTCATCTTAGCAATCAATCTAGGGACATTTCTTCAGTTGAGTAAAAAGAAGCAAGAGAGATTTATTGAGGAAGGTCCCGGTTGTAATCAAATTTTTGACCGCTATTAAAAATCTGCCGCATGGATGTACAAATATGTAACGGGAACCGTGAACACAAGACTGTTTTTGTTAAGCACCCTACATAAACTTTCTCTTAGTCACATGTTCCCAAAATATTAATCCAATCTACAGAGTATGAAAATATGAATGTTTATGCGCCTTACTTGTGAACGCAATATTGTTGCTACATGGTTAAAGAGTTACCATGATCAACGTATGGTATATACTAATAGCGGACAAAAGCTAGAGGAAAAAGCTAAAAAGAAAGTTTTGTGCAAACTAAACCTAACTGTAAGTTTATGGGAGAAAAACAAAGAGAAAGGAAGAAAAAATAAACAAAATTTCAATTGAACTAAGCTCCATAACGAAATCTGCAGACGAATGTCGCTAAAGGAATTTTTCACATAGAGTGTAGATTGTCTGATTGTCTCTTGTACGCAAAAGTTATTTATATATACATTAATCAGTACTCATTAGTGAGGCGATGCGAGTCCTTATCCCAGGGGCTCTGCATCAGCACGTGACCGTACTAGGTTGAGCGGAGCTCAACGTTTAGGACGGCCAAAAACGAAATTCACTAAATGGTGCATGCACGGCTGTCAAGTAAAAGTTAGGTATTTAGCAGAGGTCATGACCATCTGTTTGTTACCCTCTGCTGATTTCGGCTGCATAGTAAGGCCAACTGCACTATGAATCACAAGCCGATGGCTGTACGAATCAAAATTCGATTTTCAGCCCCGTCCATCGTGTTTTCCACATCGTAATCCCCGGCTATTATTATTTGTTGGTAAAGTTCAATGGGGAAAAAAGATTCAAGTATAGTTTCATAAGAACGATATCGAAGCATCAGAGAATCGTTGGACCGATTGTATCATTCTCGAAGGAAATTTAGTTGAGAAACCCAAAAACTGGTCGAAGATTGATTTTAAAAAAGAAGAATGTTGTTTAATTTTTTCATTTGCGAACCGATCAAAAATTTCTGAGTCAACTTTCCCAATTTTATTTATTTCTGTACGTTGTGGAAAAAACTTCCAAAGCATTTGTTTCTTTTATTATATTTAATTAAACAATTTTTTTATTCTTTTATTATGTTTGTGTTTCGTGTTTTTCCTTCATTTGTTTATGTGTTGGTGTTGGTGGTGGTGGTGGTAGCAGTGGTAGTAAGTAAAAGCGTTTATTTTATAGATTTATTTGTGTTTCAATTTATTTGAATTTGTTTGGTTGTTTGGTATTTTTTCTACTCGATACCCGAGATTTTTATTTAAATATGAAATGTTTGTTGTGATTGCGTTTGAAACGCGGCCAAGCCAAACAAGTATTTTTTTGTACATGTGCTATAAATGTGTATGTGTGTATGAGTAGGTGTAGAATAACTTCTGTTTGATTTTAGAAAATATATATGTATAAGCATAACAAATAGTTTGAAGGCAAAAGTGTACGCGCGTACATATGTTTAGGTAGATAGGTAATCACGGAAACCATCAAATCAAAATATTTCCATCTAAGTTGAGATCAAGCTGCTGTAGTACTCCGCTACTGCTACCGTCGATGAGGTAAGAGGATGAGATAATTTATTACCAAAACGTTTGTTTGTATTTCAGCACTGCACACACTTTCGCCTTTTTTTCTCCCTGATTACTCTGCAATTGCAATGACATTTCCTTTAATTGTTATAGCGTTTTTTAGTCATCCTTCTTATTGATTCTAACAGCATTTTCAATTTCTTCTTTAGGTTGATCCTTATCGCCCCAACCCCAAGTATGATGGGATCCATCACCGGTACGCTTTACTCTTTGCTTAATAATATCGGCTGAAACAGTTTTCAAATCGTAAGCCCAACCAATTTTAGCGAAAAAGTCAATAAAAGCTGTAGTAAAGTTCATAGAGTATTTTCCAAATTCTGCTGTCTTATAATCCCAGGGGAATACATGATGGTAGTTATGCCAGCCTTCGCCAAAAGCAAAAATGGCCACAGATTTATTTTCAGCTGGGCTAATATTTCTACATGCGAATAAAATGAAAAAAATTCATATATCATACATTACTCATACTCCATTCATTTATGTCTCATGTTGATTAACTTACTTATCATACGGTTTACCACCAAATTTATGGGCCGCGCTATTCACCAACCACGTAACATTCAATATGAAACACCAACGAAACATTGTCGCTACAAACCACGAATTCATAAAACTTTCATTCCAATAGTACATGGGCACCAAAGTGGGCAAAACGAAACATAACAAGGGCATCAAAATCATGTAATATCTGGAATATGATGTCGTAAGTACGCGCCGCTTATTCCACATTTCATATAATATACTTACTTTTTTTGAAACATTACAACGGGATCTGCTCTTAGGTCAGATAAATCGACACCTTTGCCTTTGGCCTTTACTTCAGGATGTTTTTTGCACAGCAACCAACCAATGTGAGAGAAGAAGAACCCGCGCGTAGCATTATGGGGATCAGCATCGGTTTCTGAGTATTTGTGATGCACGCGATGATCTCGAGCCCAATGATAGGCGGCATCCTGAAAAGCGACCGTATTGAAGATAACTAACAATACGCGCAAAGGCCATTTTGCTTTATATGAACGATGCGCCCATAATCTATGTGCTCCGGCTGTGATGCCCAAACCGGATACCACATACATAGCAAACGCTAAAAAAATTCAAATGGAGTTAATGAAATTGGATAATGATTCGAAATAAAACGTAAATAAGATTGTGCCGCCTTCACCATAAAAAGAAATTTCTATTTAAGTAAGCTCGAAAACCTTGTCCCAGCAGAGGAAAGTTTCTTGAAAAGATTTGAAACAACTAAGCAAAACTAAACACACAAAATAATAAACAACAAAATGCAAGGAAGCAGCTAAGCCGTTAACACAATGATGCCAGTTAATTGACTTAATTGAATTCTAATTAAGTTAAAGTGTTTAATGGGACACATTGGGCACATTGGATTTGTATCACAAGATTTTATATTTCTATATTCCTTGTAAAAGCTGTACTTTTAAACAGCGTGCATGTTGAATTCTGTTCGTTTTCCTGTAGATACCGTCATTGCTAGAGCCTGTGTTGCTAGTGCTCAATGTCTCTTTTTTAGTCTAAGAATTCAATTCATTAGTCTAAAATTAAAATAATAATAATAATATATTTTATATACAAAATATAATTTACAACAAAAATAGCGGATATGATTTTGAATGAAAATTTTCAAAAAAAAACTTTTTTTTTTTTTTTTCATTTAAATTCACAACACAAACTCAGGCTTTACTGTGCGGAGAATTACTATCCATAGGGGCAGCTAGTTGCCCTCGCCATTTGGCGACACACCCGAGTGTTCGTTATTGCTTTCAGTTACCACATTGCTTTCGTTTACAATGTTTGCCGAAGATGATTCGTCAGCCGTGGCTCTTGATATTTCCTCAAGAATTTTTACGGAGGATGAATTGCTTTGCGAACAGATATAACCCTCGCTCCTAGCACAGGTTATATTTGGAAAATTATCGCTGCCACGATGGCAGATTTCGCAAATGCGAAGTATATCACTGGTATTGGTGCGCAGACGTTTAGCAGTGTCCTATGTGGATTCTATGTGGATTACGCTTGCAAGAGCATTTGTTTAATTTATGAAATTCTTCCAAGATATCGGGTTGTATCAAACTAGAACTCGACTTTGGCCGGCGTTGTCCGCTCGCCGAAAAATGTTCCAGATCAATACATTCTAAAAGGCCAACATTGCTTAGATTTTCTAAGCTCTTGTAAACGACGTTCTCCCTTTGGAGGTGGTGTCGGCACCAAATCCTGGATGCGACCTTCAACCTGACTTACAATCTCTGATTCGGAAACGTAATTTTTATCGTAACCTTTTGCCGATATCCAGACAGCTCTAAATACTTCGCGACTAACTATTTTGGATATATTGCCTGTTCCATAGCAGTTAGTTCTTGGTAATTTTATCGAAAATCGCTTATGAAAAACTATTTTTTCAAATGTCGCGTTGTATAATAAGTTTAGTTGAAAAATTTTTTCAAAAACTTCCCTAAAAATCTTTCCTATGTATATATATGTATATATAATTACCTTATAAAAAAGAAAAACCTAATCGACGACGTTCCCAAAGCAAGAGAAGAAAAAAAAAAAAAACCTTGAAATTGAATCTAAAATCGGAGTACGTCACAATACTTCTTTTAGAAATAACTTATAAATTAAAAAATTGCATTACACTTTTAACTTAAGCCAGCGGTCGTTGCAATTGTTAAGTTTCGGCAAAGATTTTGTTTTCACTTACCGAACACCATTGTTTGCCATTTGGCCGAAGTGAACATGAGATAAGCACCATATAATGCTGCCACATGCAAATAACCGAAAGCTATGATATTACGCCAAACAAGTTTCAGTTTACGTTTTTCCGCCTTTTTTAACCTTTCGATGTCTTTCACAAGGCCACCATCAATGGTTTCGGCATCGTATTCAAATAAAACACCTGTAGTAGCTTCATGCAGTCTTTTCGGATTCTGATTGGTTTCGGACGACGCATTTATCAACGATTCGGAGATCGCCTGAGGAGCTGAAACGGCGTTTGGCGGCATGTTTCTGAAAAAAAAAATAAATAAATAAATGAATACATAAGTGCATAAATTAAATATAAATAGTCCATCATTTTTATTGTTATTATTATTTGCAAATTACGTTTATTTGCAATCAAATGATCTTAAGCTAATAACAATTGCCGTTTGCGTCATTTGCAATCATTTTTTTCTGATGTAATTTTAATAATTCTTTTTGTAGAAACAAATGCAAGCAAACATACGCGTATTCAGTTAAGTAGTTAAAGCGTCGCTAAGCGATTTATACAAATTATTCAGCACAGAACGCAGCACAGTAAAATATATATATGGAGCAGATGATGGAAATGCAAACAAATAACTACTAAATAATCGTTGCGCCGGAAAGTTAAGCGAAAACACTTTATTTCCGTCTAAATAAATAAAATAACGTTAGTGTTACGAGCAATATTTCTTTGTATTCACAAAAAATCGTACGATGCAAAAGAATTTTTTTTTATTTTTTATTTGCTTTTCAATAAAATAAAAATAAAAACTCTGCCAAATACATTTTACTAAATGAAAGCATTTATGTGTACATAGCGTTAAGAGAGAGAGTGAGAGTATTGTTTAACTTGTTATTTCTCTCCCTTGTTCGACATGTTGTGATTAATATAACACAATAGTAGCTACTGCATAGCTGATGATGAGGTGAGGAGAAAGAAAAAAAAGAGAGAGAGAAAGAGCGAAAATTTTGCACAAAAAAAAAAAAGAAGTAAATAAAGAATAAAAACATTGATTAAGAGCACAAGAGAAAATAAATGCAAGGTGGGCCATCTGCTAGTGTTTTTTGGCCTTTTCTATTCAGCAACGTTGTATTTCCAAATATATTGATCATCAATGTTTATTTTTTTTTCAAATATCTCGAGCACCACTCACCGATTTTTTATGCCACAAGGGGAGACTAGTAGGCTTTCTTTTTTTTTTTCAAATATCTCGAGCACCATTCACTGACTTTTTGCACCACAACAGGGCCATGATAGATTTCTCAAACGATTAATTTACTTAGGGAATATGGTAAGAAAGGAATCTGCTTGGCGGCATTTCTCTTCCTCCCGCTTTTTCTTTCTCTCTTGGCTTGACTAACTTTGAAAAGCGCTTACCCCGTTAATAGTAACAGTGCATGACGTATATGAGCATATATGTCATGATCCGTCTATCCGCCATTAATCGCTCATCGCTAAACTCGTTAACTGATTAAAACAACTCATTCGTCTGTCCGTGCCCTAAAAAAATGTTCATTTCCTCGTCTTGTTTACGTGTGGCTTGAAATTTCTACGGGTTTTAATGCAGAGTTCATGATAACGCCTCTGTGCTAACTTGGAAAAGCAGCTGAACTATCCCTGTAAGGATTGGTACATAATTACCTCTTTATTAAGGAAATGGATCGTTACTCTGCAATCAAATAACTAGTTACTGATCGATGTTTATTAATAGATATACACGTCCCCGTCCGTCCAATCCGAATATTACTTCTTGTTTGTTCTCTATTTATGCCCTATTCTATATATTATATTATATATTTTGCCCATGTCTTCTGGTATCTAAATAATTTCAATTTATTATTTATATTTCCTAATTGCGGTCAAAATTCAAGTCATCGTGAGTCTACAAGTAGCTAGGCAGCAGATGGTAAATACGTATTCCCGCACGCTACGCCAGTTCGTACCGAAGCAAACAGAGTTGCTGTGAATCAGAATGGTTTTGGAGGTCTAAGTTTTCTTTCTTCATATTCATTCACCCCAATTCTTTGTCAAAAGCTAGCAAGCTCCAAAACCAATCGCGATGTGACAGATCCGCCTATTTCTTAAAAAGCGGAGTGTATACCACTTACGTACAATTTAAAATCGTAAATTTCACAGGGAGATGTTTGATTTTTGTGTTCAACGAAAATAATCAATGAAGAAAAAAAAAAACGTAAACCACCAGCGTAAGGAGTTAGGAGTACAGTAGGGGTAAAGTGATTTTTCTCCTAAAAATTAAAGAAAAGATGCAACTTTGTTTTAGTAACAAGTTTTATATGAACTCGTTGTAGATTATCAGGAACCGATCGACCTATAGATATAATTTATGAACAAAATGCAGCAAGTTTTCATTGATCCATTGGTGGGGTAGGTCACGGAACCTGTGTATGAACTTATAAACTTGACTAAATGACTCAATAAATCCTCAATAATTATTTTGGGGTTATAAAAGTAATAGCATATAGCGAACACATCCGAATGGGTCAGAATATAAAGGATGATTGCAAACAACGCTGGAGGAAGATTTATGCTAATCTTTTAAAATAAAAGGAAGAATTTTAAATATTGATAAATTGGCAGTTTTCAAATTTTCTATTCTGTTGCAAACAGGGAAATCGTATTTGACCCAAATCAGTCTTATGTTATCAACAAGAGCAACATCAACTATCATCATAGTGCACGGACCAAATCTATTGACATTTTCAATGTCAAGGATATGAAATGGGCCGAATACTGAAGACAAAAACCCCTCGCAGTGTATGAAAAGGTAATGTTTGAATTCGACAACACTGGAGCATATTTTGTTAAATCAACTAAGGACACTATGCAGTTGCTTACTATTTAGATTCTATTACACTTGTTCATTGTCGATTTCGATTGATTGTGGGCAATCAAGTTTATAGCGAACTTTACCCGCTTACATTACAAACACCTTCCGCCTGAATTAATACAAAAAATTTTACGTTTGACGCTAGACAACGTTTTAGAAACGCGTAATATATATATTATTAGAAAAACATTACATCTGATCTTTATAAGAAGCCTTTAAAATATTCTCATTTTTAATTTCAAAGTAAGAATCCCTACATCATTAGTCTTTCCATTCCATCACCTAGCGCCATAAATCGCAAAAGGACTAACAAATAATAAATACTCAATACTACACTGGATGTCCCTAATCCACTTTTTTAAAAAACCAAAAAAAAAAAAAAAATTAATAAAATTCTGACTTGTCTTGTACTCAATATCTTTTTTTGGTGAGTGCTTATGCCAAACCACTTTAATTATATAAAATTTGTATAAAGCTTTTCTTTAATAGAAGTATAAGAAAGACTTCTTCTTTTCTTTTTTTTCCTTTCGGTTCTTTGTCATTGCATGGGATTAACGCATTTTGCATTTTTTAGCGGATTCGCAGTTGTGATGTAACGCAGCCGACAATGACCTAAACTCAGCTTTCGCCTGAGCTTCTACACTTCAGCAATTTTATGACTTTCTGATATAGAAACATATATAAATATATTTGTATATATAAACTTGTTTGATATGTTATTCCATTAATTTGTGAACCAATTAATATACAATTAACACAAAGCCAAGCCAAAGCCAATGCAAAATATGTGAGTGATACATACACAAGAGGACAGACAGACTGTTGAATTTTTCATAAACAATTAAGAGTTCATTGATTTGCTTTCTCTAGGTCAAATTTGACTTCCGCGCATAAGCAAGCAGCAGAAAACCGAAAGAATTAAATTATATTAAAAACTTTTTGTGTCTTCTTGAAAACTAGTTTTTGATTTCCCCGGCACCACAAAGAGTTTTCTCTTTATGGCGGGCAAGCGTGACCGGCTCGAATAATCCGACCATATATTCACTATCTTGGGTGCTTGATATTAATGGAGTAATGAAAACTACAGGAGAGCACAGAAATTGTCTACAAGGTATAATACAATAATATTAGATCCAAAAAGCCATTGAAATGCATTTGGTCATTATGTTGCCGATCTGCACATATGCTTTTTAGCTTTCGCCTAACATATTGTGTTCTCCAAATTAGTTGAAAGTTGCGAACAAAAAAAAAAATTCTTGAGAACGGCATCTCTCGCAATTACACTGTAAACTTATGTATAGACAGACAGATCTCCGTTTACATGTAAAAATAATTGTATCATGTAACAAGGTATTTGTGTATAAATTGATAATTATGCTCCTTTGTTGAAGTTAACCGTGGCGACCTCTTTAGCGATGAGCGCGTATACGAGTATGTGTAGTGTAAAGTTAGATTTTAATGAAAGAATTTGACAAAATGATACAAATATTTTCGAAAATACATTATGGTGGCAAATGCACATTCATATTAACAAGAACGGAAGGACGGATCGTGTCAAACGTACACTCGTCATACACAGTTGACTTGTTAAACTTCATTCAAAAAAGTAGGCGTCAACACACTTTATCGATAAGAAATATACTTAAAAATGTTATGCGAAACATTTTACCTGCTTCGAATGAGTTTTTAGGTTTCCGAAATTAGAAGATAGAAAAAAAATTTCAGATCAAATTTACTCACTTAGAAGCAAAGCAATTTCAATTTTAGCAGACAAAACGCACGAGCGCGATAAAATCTGATTTCACTAGTTATATATTGATTAAGAAAATATATATATATATATACTTTGTGAAGCTTTTGATATGCCTGTGTTAAGCATTTGATAAATCTAATGTTGGAGTATCTAAGAAACACCCACTTGCACACATTTAGCTCACTTTGCCTTAAGGCGGATATTTTATTTATTTATTTATTTATTTATTTATTTTTTGTATATTATTACTCCTCAACCATAAGGTAAGACGATAATTCATTTGAACAAATATTTCCACTTATTACAAACATGATAGATAGCAGCATATAGGTAGGTGCTTATAGTAAATGCTTTCTTTCGCTTCTTATTAACAGTAACAAACCTTCTTTTAGCTTTGTTTCCGTAATTCCTTTAAGATATTTTTTTAAGTAATATCCTTTATTAGTCACTTGACGCGATATTTTTAGGTCGTTGGTGTTTAGTGACTGAGGAAGTGGCCTGCCTGTTTACACGGAGCCGTTTCAAAGGGAACTGATCTATTCAACTAGCGGATCACTAAATAGTATCAGATTTTTGTAAAACGAATGCTCGCAAACGTGATCCGTTCTGATAAAACGCGATTAATTTTTGTTTAGTAATTTCACGATAATTGAAAGAA